ACTTGCACTGCTCACACCTTCTCAGACAATGAGATGCACTAGCATTCCATATGTATCCCTGTAAGGATCAGGAAAACACACACTTAAGGCAACCCAAAACATTCATGCCTATTTCAAACACTTTTACATTTTCTTGATTTTATCTGAAATCAGGGCTAGTTCTCAGCACAGGTCTCTGGTCTTCAAATCACATATCCAACACCCTTCCTGGCCCATGGGCCACACTCCAACCCACTGCTTCCCAGCTGGAGCAGACTAACACCAGACTGACACCCATCTCCATATCAGACCTGGGTCAAAGCTGCTGTCCACTGGAAGCCTAAGAGTATTGTAATGGCAAAGGAAAACAGTGCTTTAAAAGAGACACAGGTAAGAAACGTAATACTTGAACTGAAAGCAGGGAATGAATTTTAGTATTTTCAGCGCAAGAGAAACAGGAGTATACAGGTTGTGCTAATAAAGGTGACCAGTAATCTCGAAAGATGCAGAATACAGAATGCCCTCTCTGACAAACAGAAGATGTGATGAGGTCCATCAGGGAAGTTTCCAGCACAGGATGACAGCAGATGCTGGAACAGTCCAGTACTGGGCAGACAATGAGAACGCAGATAAAGGCAAGGAAACCACCATCCAGAATGGATGTATCAACTTGAGATATATCATCCTGAGACAACAAATCATTTTTCATATCAAAGGGTATTCAAGTCAATGAGATCTGGACGAGAAGGATGTGCTGCACCTAGAGCAGACCCCCTCCAAATTAAGATAGGGAAAAACAAAACTGAAATGACAAACTTGCTGACTGATGAAGAAAGCAGAACAAGAGAAGCAATACAGACACAATCTGGGCCCTGAGCAAGTGAAAAGCAGGATATTTTTTAATAGATACCTAGGACTAAAAGTAGAATAGCAAATCCAAAGGGAAGAAGATATCAAGTCACTGGCTCAGCCAAAAGAAGGTTCCAACCAGGAATTATTGCTGTTCATGCACCACCATTCACAACAGCTCTGACAGCACTCAGGACTCGGATGAGAATGGGTCTGGTCTTTTCAGTTTCTCATTGAAAGAAAGAGATAAATATAAAAATGAGTGCCAGGACTGCAAATACCACCGACAGCTGTAGTGCCTAAACATGATCACCATCCACATGCACGGATGAAGTTAAAAGCTAACCCGGGTCACATGGAACGGATTATCTCCCTATACAAGGCATTCGGTTTAAGAAACCCCTGCCTTAACCGAGCTGGATGCAACACCTGGAGGGCGACGGTCCTGGTCCATATTTCCATCTGTTCAAAATACAGCTACTGGGTAAGAATCCCCGGGACAATCTGCTGGCCAAGGTGCACCGCGCAGGGCGAGCCCTGCCCCTTGGGGAGTGACACAGGCCACGTGCTTCGAGGTGGCACCGGTGCTCTCCTGCTCTCTCTAGGAAGGGCACATACGACACCTCTTCAGGACCCTGCAGCACCAGAGAGACACGGAGCTCCTGGAGCGGGTCCAGTGGAGGGCTACAAAGATGATTAAGGGACTGGAGCATCTCTCTTAGGAGGAAAAGCAGACGGAGCTGGGTCTGTTCAGCCTCGAGAAGAGACGGCTGAGAGAGGACCTCAGCAGCTGTCTTTAAGTATCAGAGAAGGGAGGCTGCCAAGAGGATGGAGCCGGGCTCTGCTCGGTGGTGCCAAGCAATAGGATGAGAGACAACAGGCAGAAACTGATGCACAGGAAAATTCCACCTGAACATGAAGAAGAACTTTTTTACTGTGCTGGTGACTGTGTGCTGGAACAGACTGCCCAGCAGTCTGTTCACACAGAGGCGGTGTGGAATCTCCCTCACTGCAGACACTCAAGAACCACCCGGACACAGTCCCGTGCCACGTGCTCCGGGATGACCCTGCCTGAGCAGGGAGGCTGCACCAGACGATCCCCTGCGGTCCCTCCCAGCCCGGTCCACTCTGTGACTCCGCTCCGCCGCCGCAGCCCCCGCCCGCCCTGTTCCGCGGCTGCACCCACCTCTCCACCAGTACTTCTGCGAGAGCCCCTGCCATGTCTGCAGGCGGGTGCGGTGCCCGCCGTCGGGCGCCAGGTGCGCGTTGCGGATGAGGCGTGCGCGGCGCTCGGCCTGCAGCACCACCTCCAGCTCGGCGAAGCGCTGCTGGTCGCGCTGCCGCCGCTGGTAGTACAGGGTCCCGCCGCGCACCACGTAGCAGGCGGCGGCCTTGCGGATCTTGCGCTTGGCGTTGCCCTCGGTGCCCGGCGCGTAGGGCTCCCGCTCGTTGGTCAGGTACCGCAGGATGGCCAGGTAGCTCTCCTCGCTGGACATGGCGGGGGGCGCGGGAGCCGCCCCCCCGCGCCCGCGGAGCCGCTGCCGGGGCGGGGAAGGGGGGTGGGCCCCGGGGCCGGCGGGAGCCGCGGCCGGGGGGGAACTGGAGTGCCGCGGCCCCGGGCGGCGGGAGGGAGGGAGAAGCTCGGGCAGCGGCCGCGGCGGAAAGACAAAATGGCTGCTGCACAACCGGAAGTGACGCAGATCCCCACGCGTGGGGGAGGGGCGGGCAGGGGCGGCTGCGCGGGGAAGGCGCCGTTCGCGAGGGGAGTGGGGCCGCCATCTTGGAAGCGGGCGGAAGGGAGGCCGAGCGGGGGCCGGGGCGGCCATCTTGGAGCCGGGCAGAGCCCGCGGGGCAGGGCGCGGCCGAGGCGCCGGGAGCGCTCCCGAGAAAATCAATTCCTTTGGAGCCCCGGCTCCGAAACGAGCGGCCTCTGCTCCAGAACTGCCTCAGGAGCCGGGGCAGCGAGCAGACGAGCAGTGAGATTCGGGCTGCACTGTTATCAGGAGCAGCACCGGGCGGGCCTCGGTGCGCTCTGTATCATCTGTGAGGGGCGAGGGAGAAAGTATTTTAAACGTCAGCTGCCGGTTCTCCTCGTCTGAGCTCTGACCCGGCTCTTACACGCGTAACAGAGACAGCAAACGAGAGGCAGGAACAGCGGGGTGTTCGCCCAGCCAAGGGCGCCGCAGCAGCGACCCTTCCCCTGCGCTCGGTGCCTGGGAGACGACCGACCGCATGGAGCGAGGCTGCCGGGACGGGCCGGTTATATATAAAAGGGGGGAGGTTGGTTTGTTTGGGGTTTTCTTTAGCGATGGTGGTGGTCGAATACTGGCACAGGTTGCCCGAAGAGGTTCTGGGACCACTTCTGTCCTCGGAGCTGTTCAAGCCTCAGCTGGATACTCATCTTAGCAACCTGATGTAAACAGACATGTGCTTTGAGAAAAGGGTTGCAGTAGCTGACCTCTGGAGGTCCTTCCCAACCTAAATTATTTTGTGGGCCTACAGCCAATTAAAGTATTCAATTTTTGATGATAAATACTTGATAATCAATGACATTCCATTAGGAAAATACAATATTAATTCCCATGTTAATTCTTTGTGTTACATTGATGTTTGAGCTGAATAACGTCCTGTTATACCAGGTTAATGCCCTGCTCTGAACAGGCTGCCTCATTCACTTGAAGCATAGCTTGTGAGAGGAGTAACCCGATGAGCTGTTACTCCATGTCACCAGATCAATCCAAACTCAGACATAAACATCAAGGAAGAATAATCTTAAAGCATTCCTGTGCACCTCTGCAGTAACACCAGACAACCAAAGCCCGCAAACGTCAAAAAATTAACAAATAGCATCTTATAGATTAGTCCTATCTGGCAGTCACCACTAGCATAGGTAATTTTAAGTGGTGTTTTCAGCCTTGAGTTTTAGATGATTAAAAATCCTTTCCAGATTCTGGCTTCTTCACTCTCAGCTATCTTAACCAGTTTAAAAGCCTTCAATCTCATTCTAAACATGAATAGCTCCTACGCATTTTTTTAATTAGCAAAAAGCAGAACGTTTGGAAGGTAACAGTGCAAATTCCAGTAATATGATCAAGCTAGGCCTTTTTCAAAAGGGTTGAAAACTTCACCCAGACCCGTATCTAATTTATTAGGAACCTCAAAACAAAGCATAATTTAAAAATACAGCCCATAACACAGAGCGCCCATTACAACCATTGTGGTTTTGAAGCCCCAAGAACTGCAGGAAGCAGAACTGTGAGAACAAAGCTGCTTCCTTGACCAGTGTAGTAGGATAATAAAGTAAGCCCTCAAAGATAACAGGCATCAAGATGTGACATCAGTAAATTGAGAAGCAGCTCATCCAGAAAACAGAGAAGGTTTGTTTTCTGTTATGGTTCTGGTAAGTCAGAGAATGTTGCTTTGCCACGGCTGTTGCTGTCCAGCAAAACTATGGCGGAGTTTGGGCATCCTGACAGCACAGCACAATTCCTAAGGCAGGCAGATACTTCCTCTGAAGAATTTCAATCCCTCTAGTGCTGGGAGGGTGAATTACTAAGGGAAACCTCAATGTGCATTCTGGAAGTTAAATATACTAAATGGGCTTTAAGCAGGCATGTATTATCAACTGCATTTGAACTCATTCAACCTTCACAGGCATCCTTTTCCTGACAACAGCTCCCAATAATCCATCACTTGGTTACTTCCTGACCCACGAATTGCATGTGAACCTTTAAGAGCCACACAGTCCATGAAACTATCCATTCTTTTTTCAACTTTTCCTGCTTTGATTCTCTACATCTTGCTACATGCATTGCACAACACAGAACTGCATTAACCTTTCTGGGTGTCTTAAAGATGGCACTGCTTCACCGCCACTTCAGTTTGCATCTCTGAGCTTAGAAGCCTCTTTTAATGTCATCAGTCACAGATGCAGAATAAACTTATGTGCCATTCTGTCCTCCAGCAAGAACACCCTATGACCATCAGCTCCACCTACCCTGTCAATGAGCCACTCGTGAAGGACTTTGGAAGCATCCCAACACAGCATGCTGTCTAAGAAACAAGTGTGTTAGAGATGTTTTTCAGTCTGCAGAAAAAAAGACCTGTTTTTTTTCACAGATTCATTTTCTTCAGTGTATCTCACACAGCTGAGGAGAACATGGCACAAGTAATGAAAGTTAACCAGATGTTTATTGAGCATGACCAACAGCTTGGCAAGTTAGCGCTTTCCACCAACACGGGGAGCAGAAACCTTGACTGGCTTCACAATCTTCTGCTTTGGTGCTGCCTTTGTAGGAGCCTGTAGAGAAATAGTTAGGTATGAACAAAGAGAAGCAATTTATTTGCAGTCTTGAAAGCACCCCTGTATATATTTTTCACGGAAATTAGGCAATTTAAATCACCCCAGATTAGAATTACAATCTATCAGATGAGAATCATGTTAATAGATGTTTACACACATACCACTAAGCCTACAACATGTATGACGCCAGCATACAGTATTAATTCATAAGTAATAATGAAACCAATGGTGGCACTCATCAATATGTTGGTATTAAGTTCCTAGATAGTGAAAATGTTACATCCAACCAAGTTTTTTATCTATTAAGTATCTCTAACAGAAAGCCAGAAAGTTGTTTTACTGTAATACTTATTTATTCTGTTAAAAAAAGTTAATTCTGTTCAGCTACTTGGGTATGTTTAACTTTACTACAAAAGTCTGGTCAAGGCGTTTTCAGATAAAACCAAAAAAAGAAGTAATGCAAAACACTTCTTCAAAACAGAAATGGGCATTTCCCATTAAGTCCTGCAGCAGAATGTTGTGTGTTGTTTTACAACATGGTGTATTCCAGTTCATAATTTCTCTTTGTCTACTGTATCTCACCTTTGCAGCAGAAACAGCTGTTTTCTTGGTTGCCTGCTTAGCCTTCTTGGCTTCCTTTGCAGCCCTGTTAATTAACAGAAAAAGAGGAATCGTTATCTGTGTCTGCCATTCCATATTTCTTTGTCTCAGCACTCTAAGAGCTCCCTAAGGTCAGGAACGGGATGCATTATTGCAGATTTCTCCTCCGCATGCAACACCCTCTAGGGAGACTACAACAGAGACAGCAGGACTGTGCGGGACAAAAAAATTATTTTCACAAAGTGAGAGGTCAAGAGGAGACCCTTCTTTGCTGCTACAGTCTCTTGCCGAGATATTACATACAAATATACTGATTAAAAACAAACTAAAAACCTCAGTGATTTCTGACGTCTCACCTAATAGCTTGTTCCCTCTGTGCTTTGCGTACTTCGGGCTTCTGGTTTCGTTTGGCCATAATCTCAGCCAGAGAGGCACCAGTGATGGCTCTCTGGAACTTGACAGCGCGGCGAGTGCGCTTCTTCTGTATCTCTTCCTACAATGGCACAAGATGAAGAAAATTAGCATCACAAGACATTAAGTAAATGGCTAAAGACAATTACAGAAACAAGGTGCTATTGAGATTGAAGCTGTTATAAAACTGTTATAAAACAAAGCAGAATTTTACCCCTCACTTCGGAGATTTCTTCTGTTGGTTACAGAGAAGTGCTGCCCTACCTCTGTGCAGCCCCTTCTCCAGCCACATCCTGTTCTTAATGTGTTATTGCCAACAATCCTTGGATGTCTCCATGGCTATCCAGCTCTTGGTGTTTGAGAACATGCACTAGCCCCCTTATCTTTGAGGCTTTTACAGCAAGGGTACCAAGGAAAATTATTTTGGAAGAACATCAGAAGTTCAGCCTTTTGTAACTCACAGAAGGAAAAAAAAAGGGGAAGGAGGGATAAAGTCCATTTGATGCAATCTTCTGAAAGGAAGACACTCCACACCTGTTTAGGGGGATCAAGTGCTAGGCTGCAGTATAAGCCATTGACCACCAAACTTCCCTTTTTCAAACAGACTGGTAAAAACACTGATTTTCAGCACTGTGTGAGCCTTTCTAAATGCTCTTCTGCTGTACAACAGCACTGGAAATACCTCATGCTACATGCCTTAGTGATTTATCTTTTTCATGCAGTAATAACATAAGAAAGGCCTTCTGCTAAGGTACAGCACAAGGTTTTCAAGAGAGTACGTGAAAAGTGCCATCCCTGCCCCCTAAACTCCCAAATCATCTATGCCGTCACATTTCAGGAAGTTTACAAGAACAAACTTTTAAAAAGTCTGTATATTAAACAGCATTACCCACCTTCCCTAAAGCAAATCTTTTGAATCATGCCATTCCTACAATTGTTAAGATCTACTGAACCTACTGTGGCTCTGAGTGGCTCCTCAGAGAAGTGCTACCACCCAAATACAATGTTTTTGCTGAGCTGGTTACCTTTAAACCACAAAGCAGTGTATCAAATTATGAAACTGGGATCACATTTTCACCATTATTGGTCAGCTCGTCATCCTGGTTATATGGGTCACACTTCCACTGAACAGCTCAAGTGACCTCCAACAGACCAGTGACCACATCTATTGGCAGCCTTTAGTCGGTATATACTTACTGACTGTCCCTTCTTGTGTTTACGCCTGTACAGAACAGTCCAGTTGATCTGACGGGGGTTTCTCTTGGAAAGGAATGCAGACTCACATTTTGCATTCAAGAACTGAAAAACCTGTGAAGGCAAAGTATTTTATGAATGGCATTATCGCAAGTCTGCATGAAGTAAATGTTTGAGTCAGTGTTTTTCAACAGTGATGCCTTTGTATTTCTTTAACACAGCTCTGACTATTAAAAATTTTAGAAGACAACATCATACTTTTCAGGTGTCTGTCCTCAAGTAACTATGTACTACTTTCTGTATGTGGGAGTGAGTCAAAACTTGGCCTAAGGAAGACAGGGAGACCAATGCTCCACCCAATTCCTTCTTGCACAGTTAAAACGAACCTGCTTTTCTAAAACAACAGGCAGAATGAGCAAACTGATTTCTTATTAACTATACAGTTCGATTTTAAGTATAGCCTAACTCCCAGGAGAGCAAACAAGGATTCAATCAGTTTACTTCCTTAGCTGTCATTCCGTATAGCAAGATGACAGCGCAGGATACCCAAAACGCAACCCCTCCTTTTGGAGGCTTGAAGAGACAGTCTTGTCTGCATGTGAGACGAGGGCCTGAAAGAGTTCTCCTCCCTATTCCCCCCCAACCATCTGCACACACTCATCCTCAAGACCAGCAGCAAATCCCAGCATGATGAGATGCAGGATGCCCAAGCAGAATACCTGCTGCTCTGAGACATCCTTTCCAAACCGCATCCTAAAACCCAGCCCCACGCAACAGCACCTGGACAGCGATGGTGCCCTCGCACCATTCAACATCCTCCACTCGGGCAGGCCCCTCAGCCACGCCAGCGGCATCCCCGGGCAACACCAAACGCGCGGCCGCCGCTCCCCCCGCACAGCGCGGCCTCTCGCCGGGCCCCCCGCCCTCCCCGAGCCCGCCCGGCGCCGCGGGGCTCGACCCGGCCTCACCTTGCCGTCGGTGCGGGCGTAGCGCCGGCCGTGGCCCGGGTAGATCTTGTACCCGCTGAAGCTGCACAGCTCGACCCTGCGCGGGAGACAAGAGTTAGGGGAGGGCGCGGGGGGCCGGGGGAGGCGGCCGGGGGAGGCAGCCGGAGCCCCGCGGCCGCCTCCCCGCGGAGGATGGAGGCGGATGGGGCAGCGGAGATTCTCACTTCATGATGGCGGCGGCGGAGAGGGGCCGGAGGGGCGGGGAGCGCGCCGGGGCGGTGTCGGGAACGCGCGGGGCCCGACGGGAGCGGGAGGGCAGGGCCGGGAAGGGCCGCCCCGGCTGCGCCGCGGGAGGGCGGGGGCTGGGCTGGCCGAGCGCTCACTCGGCCGGGCCGACCCTTCCCGGGCACGGCCCCGAGCACGGCACCCGCCGCCCCGCCCGGGATAAAAGCCGCGGTGTCCCCGGGGAGAGGCGGATCGGTGCTCGGTTGCTTGGCGGCGCTGTCAGGCGCGGGGCATGGCGGCCGCTGCGGCCAGGGCGGGGGACGAGGCGGCCGGAGCGGGTAAGGGCAGCCCCGCACGGGGCTGGGGGCCGGCGGGGCCGCGCTGTTGGGGTCTCCGCTGTGTGCTGCGGGTCCCCAAAGCCGCGGTGTCGCTCGGAGGGGCGCGGGCGGCTCGGCTGGGGAGAAGCGGGGGCGCCCCCTCCTCCCGGGGCTGAGGGGCGGCTCGGCCGCTCCCCCGTTCGCCCCCCGCGCTCTGCCCGTTCCGGACGGGCTGGAGGCGGTCGGGGCAGCGGGGCGAGGAGAGCGGCGAGGGCACGGCTGCCCGCCCCGGGGAACGGGCCTGGCTCGGGGCAGGACGAGCGGCTGTCCATCGTGCTGGAGCATCCCGCAGCCTTGTGGAGCTTTATAGGCCGGGAGGTGAATGAAATAAGGCCCGTTTTCCCTGCTTTGGAGGGCTGAGAGGTCTTGGGGAGACAGCGCCTCTTCTGAGGGTGCAGTTCCTTGCTTCCTGCCAAACGAGTAATAAGGAATTCTGGAACGTTTTCCTGGGTCCTGAAAGCCTGTTAGGAAAATCTCGTTCCCTAAGTATTGTACCAATGAGTTTCCATAGTCTTTATTGTATGAAATCATATTGATTTCTTAGAGCTGTATTTCATAGAATGCTTTGGGTTGGAAGGGGACCTTGAAGATCATCTTGTTCCATCACCCCCACCGTGGACAGGGACACCTTCAACTAGACCAGGTTGCTCAGAGCCCAGTCCAACCTGGCCTTGAACACTACCAGGGATGGAGGAACTATATATGTAGTTCATGCTGTATACTGAATACCCGTGCTTAAGCAAGCAGAGGACCCCAGCTTGTTGCAAGGAGGAGGACAGACCCTTTTGAAACAGGAACCTGTACTCCTCTGAATCTTGAGGGTGCTCACAAGCAATAAAGGGTACCCCCAGACAACGGAGATAAGATCCTTTAACACCTCTGGGAAACCCTCTTGTTGTCTGGTATCATCCATAAGTGATTATAGCAAGACTGACTGCAGGGATGTCTCGATCAGTAGAGAAGCAGGTGGATGGTGACGCCGTAGAAATACAGTTCCTTGGCAAATGGATGTGTGTTAAGTAGCAGTTAGTCAGATCATGTTGTACCTGAGTGCTTGAAAGCAGTAAGAACCACTTGGAAGCCACATTGCGGTGCCCCAGTTTGAAAGGGGCACCTCATGTGTAAATAAAAGGATTACTCTTGTAATTCTGTACTGTGCGTCCAAGCCTCTCTCCTAGGTCCTCAAGGACTGGTTGAGAATTTTTGTAACAAACCCTTGGATAAATGGGCAGATGCAAAATTTCTCTGTTTAGCTAAAGTGACTAGGTGGTTGCAGAGGTGACTGCTTCAGTGGGAAACATGCAGTACCTTCTTCCTGAACGTGCAAAGACGGGAATGTGACTCTGGTGTTGCTGGTTCTGCATTACTGTTCTTCAGTTTGTCTCCACCCTTGGCATAGATAAACCCTAAAAGCCTGTAAACTGTAATAATATTAATATGTATGGTATGGTGGGGTAAAAACACTATTTAGGACCTGCTGCTGAAAAAGGCAGTGTTATTTACTGAGCAGATAGTGAGAGAAGAGCAAGCACTACGATGATGTTTGTACATAAAATACACAACAGAGGCTTAACGTGTAAAAGTGATTATTATTGGGTGTCGCTATGGGTACCCAGTCATTCAAGCTCCCCGTAGATGGCAAATGTTTGCCTTTTAACTTTGTGTAGTAACACTTTTTGCATGGAGCATTTTAATTGTGTGTTTCATTATTAAGTGGTATGCTAGCCTATTTACAATTTGTTCCTGCCCAATGCCACCAGTACTGTAGTATAGTTGAAAGAATGGATTCTTAGTTTAGATAGAATGCCTACACATAGGTGGTTAGTTGTCAAGCTACTCAAAACTTGCAGTCTCTGAAGAATTTAAAAATTGTCTCTCTTGAAATTTGAGGTTTTGAGGATGACACCTTTAAATTTAGCTACCAATTTTTTTTTTTTTTTTTTTTTCCTCTGCTTCTCACTTCAGAGGATCTGTTACTGACTTTCCCATAATTCCGTCAGAGCTCTTTACTGCGACAGGATCTGGAAGGCATATCTTTGAGTAACTGGATCAGTTACTCTGAGATACTAGGACTGAAGTAATTGCTTCAGTTTTACAGGGAAAAGAAACTTTAGCTGTATTTCCAAATTATCTGCATGCATCATAAAACAGTTTCTTTTGCATTGCTTTTTCAGTCCATATATAAATTTTGTGGTGCCTTTTTTGTCTTTTTTTCTCGTTTTTATTCTAAGGCTTAGTAGTCAACTGGTCAGGTCAAGGATTGCAAAAACTGGGTCCAACCTTACCCTGTGATGCTGATACTCAGACTCTGATTCTGGACAAAAACCAGATAATTAAATTGGAACACTTGGAAAAATGCAGGAATCTGATGCAGGTCAGTATTACTTGGCTTGAAATTGCTATGAAATAATGGTACTGTGATGTTAGCATCTTTGGCTTTAAGGCTGTATTATGTAATCAAAGTAAACTATCAGTTATTGTCTTCATGAAAAAGTAAATGATGGCTAAAATAGAAAGCTTTGTTTCCTCAGTCTACAGTTGGTTGTGGAGGAGGCTGTTTCATGCATTACCTAGGCAACTAAAAATGAACTAAATAAATTCTAATTGGAAGGGGCATCTTAAGAACACTTAGAAAAGTCACTGATAATCCAAATTTTGATACTACTTAGCTTTTGGATACTTGGGCTTTGTAGCATTAAAAATAACTTTGTATTATCACTGAAAGTGCCTCCAGATAAACTTGAAGCTGCCCAGTAGTTTTTACACACAAGCTAAATTGAGATGGGAGAGGTGGGGTTTGTTGCTACAACAAACCTTCACCAGAGTGCCAGTTTGGCAGTCCTGTTACTGAAGTGTATGTCTAATCAGGATCTACTCTTTAAACAGTTCGTGATCTACAGTCCTGCTAACATAGGACTTTTTTGTTAATCGTGTGGAACATATTTTGTCCTCTGCCATATTGACAGTAAGTACATTTTTACACCAGGAATGGAGCAGCAATTTGCACAGTGAATTGGCAATTCTGATTTTAAAATCTTATTTTCATATGACACAATTCCTCATTCTTTCTCCTTTATTTATGTGTTGCTAGGAGAATTTCCTCTTAAGTTTACAGAGTGAGTTCTGAAGACAACACTCTTTGATCAGTAATTTATTTCCTGGCTCTTGTGGGTTGTTTGTGTTATTTGCTTGGAAATTAAATACGTAGATTGAAGAAGTTCCTGTTGGAGTAGATTTTTAACTGTTAAACATAAAAGCCTATTCTGTCTGTGTAGTTGAAACTCATCCCTGTTATTTGTGTGTCCATCTGCAGCTCTCTGTAGCCAACAACCGTTTGGTACGAATGATGGGTGTGGCAAAACTGACGAAGCTCCGGGTGCTCAACTTGCCTCATAATAGCATTGGGTACGTGGAAGGGCTGAAGGATTTGGTGCACCTGGAATGGCTAAACTTGGCAGGAAATAACCTTAAGGTAAAGTATTTATTCTTTTGCGTTTTCCAGAATCTAGTCTTGTAAAACTTTGGAAAACGCAGCAAAGAAATCTGAATATGTTTCTGGGTTTGACTGAAACCAAAATGTTAACGTTTCTTGTCTACTTTATGAACTAAAAGAGGGCAGCTTTTGGACTAGAGTTGTCTGGGGAAAAAATAAAAGTTTTGATGTCAAAATATAATGAGAATAAGGAAATAGTACTGAAAGTAGGAAAAAAACTATCATCTTTAAAACGAAACTGTTAAAACGTGGTTTTTATTTTGGGTTTCTTATCCAGTTGGTTTTTTAGCTTTCAAAATAATTTATAGTTATTGATACCTGGTTTTACTTAGTGACTAGAAGAGACTTACTGTAATTGACTTCTTTATTTTTGTAGGTCATTGAACAAATCAGTTCCTGTCTGTCTCTTCAGCATCTTGATTTGTCAGACAATAACATAGCTCAATTAGGCGATCTCTCCAAGCTGACATCGCTGAAGGTAGGTGTTATTTTGTCTCTATTTTCACTACATTCTTTACATAAGGAAATTGCTACCTTTTAAAAACATTCATTATTCAAACTAGCTCTTAAAGCATTTTAATGAATTACTGTCGTATCTAAAGGGACGCATGTAAGAATTCTTTTCCTTGTCTCCAAGTTGCAGGAACCAAGGCAGTGATTTTTCTATAACTTTCTATAATTTTGATAAAGATATGATGGTGAGATCTTGTTCATAGCTCTTTGTTCTCTTATCTTCTGTCATGAATCAAGACAAAGCATACTGTTAACTCTTTTAGCATGAACACTGTAGATAAAAAATGTTTCCAAATACATTTTTTGGTAACTGTGACCAGAAAGCCTTAATTATAGTTCTTTTGCATGTTTTTTGCAGGTAATGCCTGAAAAAGAAATATGGGGGTTTTGATCAAACATACATTTCATCACCATATTCTTATTTTATAGACCCTGTTGCTACATGGAAATATTATAACTTCACTTCGCACTGCCCCTGTCTGCCTGCCTCAGAGTTTGACTGTTTTTTCTTTGGCAGAAAATGAAATCAGAGACTTAAATGAGGTAAAATTTAGAAGATACATCACCTTTCTTTTAAATAGACCAAAAGCAAGTAGTTGTACAATATTTTTGAAGTTGTAGCTGAGAGTGGGCTCTCTTTTTCGAAATAACCCATGCTGATGGAAGTAACTTTAAACAGTTTATATGCAATAACTGTACTTGC